TTACCAGCCTAGACGTCAGTGAGTTACCTGCGCACGGAGACTTCGAGGTATATCTGTCAGCGTTCGCAGACTCCGGAGTCCCCTTTTATAATTTTATGTTGCTTCCTTATATTTTATTTAGACCTTGACTTATAGAGACATTGGGAATAAATTCTTAGAAGCTTGTGATTTATTTCTACCGGGTTTTGGGAGTTGAAATTGTTTGAATTGTAGTTTATCTATTTCAGATATTATTATTATTCCGCATTGATAGGCTTACCTAGTCTTAGAGACTAGGTGCCATCACGACATCCTACGGAGGGAATTTGGGGTCGTGACAAGTATCATGCCGACCTGTCACATGTGTTAGACTTCAGCACAGTTCAGCTAGATAATTGCTTGGGTTATGAAGATGAGCCAGTTGCCATTGTTGAAAAGCAGGTTCGCCAGTTGAGGTCCAAGAGGATTTCTGCAGTAAAAGTCTAGTGGAGGGGCCAACCAGTCGAGGAAGCGACTTGGGAGGCCGAGGAGGATATGCGGAGCAAATATCCACACTTATTTAGCACTCCAGATATTATTCTAAACCCGTTCGAGGACGAACGTTTGTTTAAGAGGTGGAGAATGTAATGACCCAACCGGTCATTTTGACTTTTAGAATCCCGTTTCCTAAAATACAACTCCCCGTATGTGCTTTTATTAATTTATGACTTGCGGGGATGGTTGATTCGAGATTTAGAAGTGTTCGGGTTGGAATCAGAACACTTGGTTCTTTAAGTTGGCTTTTAAAGGCAAAGTTTGACTTCGCTCAACATTTTTAGAAAATGACCCCGAAATCGGGATTTGACAGTTCCAATAGGTTTGTATGGTGATTTTGGACTTAAGAGCGTGTTCGCAATTTCATTTGGAAGTTCGTAGTTAAATTAGGCTTGAAATGGCTAAAACAAGAATTTAAGTTTGGAAGTTTGACCGGGGAGTTGACTTTTTGATATCGGGGTCGGAATCCAGTTCCGAAATTTTTTATAGTTTTTTTATGTCATTTAAGACTTGCACGCAAAATTTGATGTCATTCCGAGCAGTATAAATATGATTCGGCGCGTTCGGAAGAAATTAGAAACTTGAAGTTCATATTTTGATCCAATTCGGTTTTGGGGTGCGGTTCTTAGTTTCGTTGTTGAATTTAGTGTTTTGAGAGTTCGAGAAAGTCCGTGTTATGTTTTCTAACTTGTTGGTGCATTTGGACGGGGTCTCGAGGGGCTCGGGTAAGTTTTGAATAATCCGGAGCTAAGTCAGAAAAACCAGAAAATTCCAGTTCTCGTTTCCTTCTTCGCGAACGCGTGAGTTCCCTGTCGTTCACGATGAAGGAAAAATGGGACTGGGCAATTTCCCTTCGCGTTCGCGTGAAAGGCGACACGTTCGCGAAGCCTTGGGTTTTTGCCTATCGCGTTCGCGAGTGAGGCGACGCGTTCGTGAAAGAGGTTGGGACCAGGTGAAGTTTGCTTACGAGTTCGCGAAGGAGCTCACTCGTTCGCGAAAGAGAAAGCCATAAGCCTTCGCGTTCGCGAAGGGTAATTTTGAGCCTGAAGAAATTGTCCTTCGCGAACGCGAAGCCCTGACTGCGTTCGCGAAGAAGGAGCCTACTGTTCCAGACAGAATGTCTTAAAAACGGGATTTCACCATTTTTAACCCTATTTCTTCCATTGTTGGGTAATTTTGGAGCTTTTTGAGAGGAGAGTTCAACTAGCAACTTGAAGGTAAGTTAATTCTACACACTTTGAATTAAATACATAGATTATGGGTAGATTATAACTAGTAAATCTTAGAAATTAAAGGTTTAGATGAAAAACCTGGATTTTTATAAAAACGAGATTTTAACCACGAAAATGGTTATGGAATTGGATAGAAATTATATATTTGAGTTCTTGAAATTATGGGTAACGCTTTCCTCTGAAAATTTTCGAAATCCGGGCACGTGGGCCCAGGGTGAATTTTAAAAATTTTACCGTTTTGGATAGGGTAATTTATTTAGTAGATGAATTTTGAATTACTGAACATGTATTAATTATTTTATATAACTTTTGCATAGTTTCGTATTTTTCGGCATTGAATTGAGGTTTTTACGCGACATTTTGATCGGAAAGCGTACTTTGAGACAAGGTAAGTCTCTTGTCTAATCTTGTGAGGGGAAAATTATCCCATAAGGAATTAAATTAATAAATGCTGCTAATTGTAGGGGCTACGTATGCATGAGGTGATGAGAGTCCGTGCGTAGCTACTATTAATGTTAAAGTCCAGATAATTTAGGACTCAAAGCATGAATTATGTGTGTAAATTGTATTTTTTATTTAATTAAATTATTTGAAATATATTGTGAATTGTTAGGGATAGATAGTAAAAGATGGAAATCTTATATACTTAATTTTCTGCTTAAATTAATTAATTGTTAAAAGAATTATTCATCCTCTCGAATTTATCTTATAATAAACATACTCTCATTCCGGAGGTACATAAGAAAATGTCCTCCTTTCTTGTGGAGTGGGCCGAACACCTCGGCAGTATAGATGCATCTATGGATCGCGCCGCACGTCCCTCGGCAGTGTACACGATACTCTGGAACGGGCCGTACGACCTCGGTAGAAATCGTGCCTAATAATAATAATAATTATACGATACTTTGCTATTTTAATTGCAGCTTGTGAATTTAATTAACGGATTGAAAATTGTTGCATTTGAAGGACTTTTATTATTTTTGCTAATTGAATAAATTTATTGTTAACTCTGTGAATCATGTTGATTTAAATAATTCTATTTTATTCTATTTATTATTGTTGACCCTTAGTGAGTGTAAAAGTCGACTATCTCGTCTCTACTCCTTCGAGATTAGGCTTGATACTTACTGGGTATACGTTGTTTACGTACTCATACTACACTTGTTGCACTTTTTGTGCAGGATCTGAGGCAGGTACTAGTGGAGGACCTATCATCGCACATCCACGTTATCCAGAGGCCTAGTGGTGAGCTGCCTTTCTGAACCGTTCTGCAGCTACTAGTGCCTCTCCTTGTATTTTCATTCTGTCTATTTTTATTTCAGATAGTATTTGGAGTTTTGTATAATCTACTAGATGCTCATACACTTGTGACACCGGGTCTTGGCACGCACATTGGTAGAATTTGAAATTTGTATTATTTCTTGGATTTAAATTAATCAGTATCTTTTTTATTTTCTCTAATATTTCTAGTAAAGTAATAAAATTACTTAGAAAATTATTTTGAAATTAATTGATATATGTTTAATTTATTAATTGGCTTGCCTAGCTGTAGTGTTAGGCGCCATCACGACCAAATTAGGTCGTGACATACACATATGTCCCTATTAATGTTGTTTAAAAATTTGACTTTTATTCATGTTATATCATTCATATTTTAATTTTGATAATTTTGATTGTGAAATATTTCAGTCAGCTTGCCATGGTTCTCAAATTCTAACGTGCTGGCTATGAATCTGTATTTTCGTGTGATTTCAGTGTTTCTTTCAATGTTCCCTTGTATTTTAGTCTTTGTGCGAATAATGGAAAAAGTTAATTGAATGACTTTCTATTTAACAAAAATAAAGGATATCGACTTCAAAAGGTGATCACGTACACTAGTATTTTGAGACTTGCATCGTTCATCAGATTCATGCATTTACTTGTTTATTTATCATCTATCACCCTTCATTTTTTTCTGATGTATTATTTTCTTTCCAATTTATTTATGTCACCATCAGGGACAGATGTAGCGTTATGACTATGTATTCATCTGAACCCATAACTTTTTACACATAGTGTATGCGTGTATATATATATATATATATATAACCTTGTTAAGCATGCAGAATAAGTAATTAAAATGATGTCAATTCATTAATTGAGTCACATGCAAAGGGTCTTCCCAAAGTATAACAAGTAGATGAATGCTAATATATAATTATTGGCACCTATATAGAGTGTCGGTTAGGCAACATAATTATCAAATTATGTTTAGGAATTTCTACTGCTAAATTATATAGTCATACACACTAAATGCTAATGAGAATCTTCCTAATATAGTGGGGAAAAAAATTCATTTTTCTGTAAAATCCTAAATCCCAACTAAAGTCCAAGCAAGAGAATGCGTACATAAAATAAAAGTGTACAGTTCCTTCGATAGATTGAATTATAAATAGCATTCTACTAACATTGTAAATAGCATTCTACGCTGTTACTAGTAAATTTTAATATGTGACAGCAGGTTAATTATCATTTTTACCAAGTAATCAATTAAAATAATATTTATCAAAAAATATTATTGTAACATATTATTGTAAAATAATAAAACTTAAACTCTAATTGAAACGTATTATTGTAATCATATTCAAATGACAATAAGTAGTGGATCAGGCTCACCATGAACTTTCATATGCATATTCCGAGAACAAAAGATCAACGCAAAGTAAGTAGAGCAACTTGGGAGCACAATTTACAAGATATTGAAATACATTTTTTCTTTTTTAATTAGAAATTGTGGGGCAGAAAATAATTTAAATTATATAAACTGCATTATTTACAAGGGAAAGCGAGCCTAAGCAACTTAAACATAAGACAAATTGATTAATACTATTAAAGAAAACTACTATAGTCCATCTATTGAGCTAGATCATTACATGAAAATTCTATAAATACGCCACTTTAGGAAACAATATAGTGCACATGCAGACACTTGAAATACTATTGCCTAATATGGCGGTTTTTAAGCTTGGCTTCATTCTCACTGTTCTTCTCATGACAACCACAAGTTAGTATTCGTCTCTTTTTGTCTCTGCATATTGAAATAATATTATTACGCCTAATTGTCACCATGTGAATGAACGTATTTCTTATACACAGACAGATACAGATATATTGCATGAATGTGAGTTTTTATTCATGTTATATTAATCATAATTTGATTTTGATAATTTTAATTGAGAAATATTTCAGTGAACGTGCAATGGTTCTCAAAAACGAATGTGCTGGCTTGGAATGTTGATCATGATCTCTCAAGAGTTGAAAGGAGTCTGCTCCCTCAACTTAATGATTTTGTAACTTGTCTGAAACCTTGTCAAACAAACGATGACTGCAGTGATTGTTGGGTTTGCTGTAAGTGTGATACGACCCATCATTGCGGCGCATTTACTGGGTAAAGTCTCTGCAAATTGCACATTATTGTTCAAATGCGACGAACTCTACTTCTATTTCCAATTACGAATTTGTCTTTTCGTGTGATTTCAATTTTTTTTTTTCATTTTAATGTTTCCTTTTTCTTTGTCACGACCCAAAATCCCACCACAGGCGTCGTGATGACACTTATTCTTTAAAACTATATATATAGGTAAGCCGATATTCATTATATTTCGAAGCAATCTTTTTTAAGTATGAATTAAATACAAATGTCAAAACCAACAGCGGAACAAGTATGAATATAACAATCTCCCAAGACTGATAGTACTGAGCCACAAACTCTAACTGAATACATGAAATAATCTCAAGGATCGAATACCCAATACTGTTTGAATAATAAATAACAGTACAATAAAATGGAAAGATTCTAAGGAACTGCGACGACCAAGAAGCTCTACCTTGAATCCTTGCGATCCCACTCTAACTCTGTCCGAGTCCGAAATCTCCAATATCTGGCTCTGCAAAAAAATGTGCATAAGTATAGTATGAGTACACCATAGTCGGTACCCAGTAAGTATCAAGACTAACCTCAATGGAGTAAAGACGAAGTACAGTCAAGACACTCACTAGTCTAATAACCTGTGCAATATGATATACAAAATAAGAATAGGAAACAAATAACAATAAGGCAACATAAAACAACTAGTGATATGCACAACAAGACAACGAGAACACCATTAACATCGCTCAACAAATAATAAATATAAGTACACCCAATTAAATCAAGTCCTTCAAATAAATGTCTTTCACATATAATTCTTCCAAATAACTCTCTTTCAAATATAATTTTCTCAAATAAATATCTTTCGAATATAAAATTCTTTCAATAAATCTCTTAAAATATAATTTTCTCAAATAAATATCTTTCGAATATAAAATTCTTTCAATAAATCTCTTAAAATATAATTTTCTCAAATAAATATCTTTCAAATACAATTCTTTCATATAATACCTTTTTGAATAAAAATCCATCCAAATAAATATTTTGAATATAATTCTTTCAATTAAAAAATCACCATGTGACACCTCATTTCATAATCATAAAAATACGGGTCTCAACCCATTTTTTTATTTTTCGTAAACACGGGTCTCAGCCTATTTTCATATTTCCACGGAACTTCGTGCCCATAATTAAGTCATCATATTTTCCCGGCACCTCGTGCCACTTTTCATATTACAGCTGCTCGGACAGTTCACGTGCCAATATTATTATCATTTAATCACAACACCTCGTGCCCACATTTCATATCACAACTACAGAGACAATTCACTTGCCAATATCTTTATTATTTACTCACGACACCTCATGCCCACATTTTATTTTATAATCCTGTTACACCCTGTACGTCCCAAAGTGACGTATAATGAATATGAGACTTGTTAATCATGATTTAAATGAGTTTAAAGTCAGAATATGACTATATATGATGATTGGACAAAACACATAAAGTTTGGGGAAAATCGGATTAAAGTTGCGGAAAATCCGACTAAGAATTTGTCCAATAACAAAGCTTTTTGAGAAATATATTTCGTGTATTATATGAGGTCTTTTTGGCTCATATTATATACCAAATTGAAGGTCTTGTAATTTAGTTTCCAATGCTCTTAACCGATTGATCATACGATATCCGGATAAAAAGATATAAGCGTCGGAAGATGGGCGAATCAGAGGGTGCCAAGCTAGCACCATTTGACTTTTCAAAAGTTGATATATTTTCTTTAACTCGTCTCTCTCTCTCTCTCTCTTCATTTTTATATAGAATATGACCAGAGGACACCATAAATGGTCCTTGAGCTCTTTAATATTGCTTCAAACAAGACTATCATCTCGGACACGAAATCAAGAAGCAATAACATTAAAACGATACCTACAACGTAAGTATCGCGATATCGCCTCTTTTTTTCTTTGTAGTTTGAGTTTTGGAATGTATTTAATAGTTAATAAAAATTCTTAATTTCTGTATTTAAGCTTTAAAATATCAAGAAAAGTTGATAAATTCGTTTTCTAATAGTTACACCTCACGGGACGGTAATCGGAAGCCGTGAGTTCGAGTTATTTGATTTGTATTGGACTGTTTTGTGGGCTGTTTTGTGTTACTTTTGGGCTGTATATTGTGCTGCTGATTTATGGAGTTTGGAAGGATAAAAATAGCGTGGAGAAACACCACATGTGGTAGGGTAGTAGGTTGGTCGCTCGTCGTTGTAGTTGCATGCTAATTGATAATTTGTTGATTGGGTGTATTATGGTATATTTGGGGGTTTTGTTGTATTGAAGGTCCCGAATTGTAATTAGGTTGGTTTTGAGTTGCTGATTGTATTATGTTTGTATCTCGCCTATAGTAGGCTTGAGGGAGCACTAAAAGCAGGGGAAATGTTGCCCGTTTTATTTTAGAATTGAGTTATCGTTTGAGATACATAATATACTACCGCCATCTAAATTGTACACATATTTCTTTGGTATAGGGTTGGCGCTCTAGTTATCATAATCTTGTTGTTGTGTTGCATTGACGACTTGAGGTATGTTAAGGCTATCCCTTTTTTCTTTTTGGCATGATCCAAATGATACAAACGAAACGAGCAAAATACGCAACGTTCATAAATGACTCTATTCATAGAAATACTAGAGGTGTCTATATTCTTGATTTTTCATGTGAATTATTATTATATACTCTATTCATGGGTCTCAGAAAAATACGTATTTGATAAAGTTTGTCCGAAAGGCATATTGATTTTATGATATTCGAGAAATCTTATTAACGTATTTCTTATACATTTCATGCATTTATACATGTACATTGACCCATGACCAGAAAGCGTTATATACGCATATATTATATATATATATGGGATATGGGAAAAGGTTAAGGCGTTATATACGCATCACCACCTGATCAGCTGGTATATGTTGATAATTTTGCCCATAGTGGCCGAGATGATATGATGGGATGCCCTCAGAGGCTTGATGATATTATGTACACCTATACCTATGCATGATACGATATTTACACGCATGTGCATGATATTATAAATGTTTCAGGATTCACAAAGTTATTTAGATTCATAGGTGGAATTCTTTACCCCATGTTTCATCTATGTCTTTTATGTACTGATTTTCATGCTTTACATACTCAGTACATTATTCGTACTGACGTCCCTTTTTTCCTAGGGATGCTGCATTTCATGCCTGCAGGTGCAGGTAGACAGGCTGACGATACCATTCTTAGGATCCTTGATCAGCGAGAGTTGGTGGGCTCCATTTGATCCGGAGCTGCTTTGAGTTTTGGTACGATGTGTTTACATATATATATGCGTACGACGGGGCCCAGTCCCGTCCTTTATACAGTTGTACACTCTAATAGAGGTCTGTAGACAGTCATATATAGTTAGATAGTATGTGTCCTTGTCGGATAACCCTACCGTATTCCATATATATATGTATATATGTCTTTTGGTCATATTTTCTCACGTCAGTTGTTCATATGAATTAGTAGTTTATTTTCTGACTTTATGCATGACCTACACTTATTTCATGTTTATATCTTAGGCGAATGCTTAGGGGTATTCGATAAGTAGAACTTGGGTACTCGTCACGGCCCATCAGTTTGGGTCGTGACAAAAGTGGTATCAGAGCAGTTCTGTCCTAGGGTTGTCTGCAGACCGTGTCTTGTAGAGTCTTGTTTATGGGTGTGTTATTCACCACATTTATAGACAAGAGGCTACAAGATATTTAGGATGGTTACTCTTCTTTCTTCTTAGATCGTGCGATATAAGAATTCATTTTCCTAACGACATGTTATGTTTTCAGCGATGCCCAAGAAGGCTACAACCGCCCAGAAGGGCAAGTCCGTGGATGATGAGACTACAAGTATAGCGCCACGAGCTACCAGGTATCGGGGAGAGTCCCGTAGTGAGACTCCATCTCAGACTTCACAGACTCTTGCCTTTCTAGAGGAGATCCGAGTGGCACCAGCTCCACCACTCGCTCCAGTACCCTCAGCTCCTCATCCAGATGCACCGTATCAGGAGATGAGAGATGCTATTCAGTTATTGACTCGGTTAGTGGCCGCACAAGCTCGACGTCAGGAGGTTGGTATTGGTCATGCAAATAGGGCCATTAGTGCGAGGGTTCGTGATTTTATTAATTTGGACCCTCTGATATTCACTGGAGCAGATCCAAATGAGGACCCTCAGGTATTTATCGATAGGATGCAGAGGACTTTGAGGGTAATGAAGGCCATTGCGACTGAGTCAGTTGAGCTAGCTTCCTATAGACTTTGAGATATTGCAATTAATTTGTACGAGTCTTGGGAGTTGTCCAGAGGTGAGGATGCCATTCCCGCAGTATGGCAGGATTTTACAGAGGCTTTTCTTCATCATTATTTTCCACCAGAGCTTAGACGGGCCGGAGTTGATAGGGTCTTGACCCTTCGACAGGGTAATATGAGTGTTCGGGAGTACAGCTTTCAGTTTGATTCTTTGGTGAGGTATGCTCCCATTATTGTAGATAAGATGGAGGATCGGGTTCACCCGTTCGTGATGGGGTTGGAGCCGTACCTGCTCAATGACTGTATGTCGGTCTCACTTCATCCAGGCATTGATATTTCTCATATTCAGGCATACGCTCAGGGTGTAGAGGAGCGTAAGCAGAAGCAGAGGGCCGATCGTGAGCATGATAGGGGCCAGAGTAAGAGAGAAAGATCTTCAGGTCCTTCAGGTGAGTTTCGAGGTAGTCAGAGACAGCAATTCCCGAGGTATCCAGCTCAGCCATCAGTTAGTGTACCCCCTCAGTTTTCCGGTAGGAGATTTGATCGTTCCACATACTCAGGGCCCAGCCAGAGTTCAAGGGCCTCTCGTTCTTAATATAGGGGTGAGTCAAGTCAGATGAGGGCACCCTTGCCACGATGTGCTCAGTGTGGTAAGCATCATGTCGGGCAGTATCTCGTGGGGTTGGGTGTTTGTTATACTTGTGGTTATCCATGCCATGTTATGAGAGATTGTCCGACGAGAGGTGGTGCAGGTATAGTTCAGTCAGCGGG